CAGACAGGACTATCGTTGCCGTTCCTCAAGACGAGAATCTCGTGAAAGTTGAAAAAGAAAAACATATAAATATTTGGATTTATCTCACGAGATTGTCGAAATGTGGAATGTCGATTCAGTGATCATTGTTCCGATAGTCGTATCTGCTCACGGATTGATATCCAAGAGCCTCGACCAACACTTTAAGAGGCTCACGTTGGACGGCTGGATCAAGGGTCTGATGCAGAAGGCAGTCCTCCTTGACACGGCTCGTGTAGTGAGGAGCTTCCTATCTTTGAAGTCCTAACCACAGGTGTCTTGGTCCCTGTACCCGATGTCGGTGGTCTACTATTTTTTAAATTTTTAATGTATTTTTTTTCTTTTGTAATATTTTAAATATGTATATAATGTAATACAGAGAATAATAATAAACTTTAATTTGCGAATATGGGTACAATTGTGAGTTGTTACAAACATTATTTTCGTTCCTCCACACTCCACCGTGTGACATGTAAATACTAAGATACCTATTTTATTTATTACAATTTTACTAAAATATTTCAAACATAATCTAAACATAAGTCATAAGTAACAACATCTGTATAAAAATTTACACGAACAAAAGAATGTAATGTCAGAATTGATGTGTTTAAAAATAACAGAAATTATGACATCAAGTACGAGTGTATAGTAGATCATTTTTGTTTTTTGTTTTTGGAGTCAAATTAACTAGATTGTAGTAGATAAAATTTAGAGTATAAGTGTATATTGTTTATATTAGACATTTTTCTCCTAAGTATTAATTAACACTGTAGTATATTTCTGTAGTAATACGATGCATGCCTTTTAAGTCTTGTCGTTTGAAGAAAAAAAAACACAACTAGAAACTTATAGTACTTTTTATTGTTTTTCAAAGTATTCACCACGTAGTTTAATACACTTTTCTATTCGCTCAAACCAGTTATTATAACATTTATTCCACTCTAAAGTGGGGCTGTTCAAAATGGCTGACTTGAAAGCGTCGACTGCTTCTTCACCGGACTGGAACTTTTCTTGATTTTAGGAAATGTAAAGAAATCGTTAGGGCTTAGGTCAGGACTGTATGAAAGATGAGCACGGGGGGGGAGCACGGGGAGGAAAATGTTCCGCCCGTCCGGGATTCGGAGGTAGGGGCGGCTGTTCTACGGATCCGTTCCAAGAACACCGCCCCTGGGCCAGACGGGGTACCGGCCCGAGTGCTGGCCCTGGCCCTCAACCACTTGGCAGACCGCCTCGGGGAGGTGTTCGACGCTAGCTTGGCGTCGGGACGTTTCCCTGAGTGCTGGAAGAGCGGGAAGCTGGTCCTATTGAGGAAGCCGGGACGGCCTGCCGATTCGGTCGCGGCCTATAGGCCCATCGTGCTGCTGGACGAGGCGGGCAAATTGTTTGAGAGGGTTCTTTCTGCCCGCATCGTCCGGCACCTTTGCGAGGTGGGCCCCGATCTGTCGGACGCCCAATTTGGTTTTCGGGCGGGGCGTTCGACAGTCGACGCTGTGTTGCGCCTGAGGGCCGTGACCGAAGAGGCTGTGAGCTGTGGCGGCGTGCTGTTGGCGGTGTCATTGGACATCGCCAACGCATTCAATAGTCTGCCATTCAGCTGCATCAGGGAAGCACTCCACTATCATGGGGTGCCAAAGTACCTGAGGCGGCTGGTGGCAGACTATTTAGAGGAGCGTACCGTCGTGTACGAGGACCGAGAAGGTGATTTGAGGAGTCGGCCCATGTCGTGCGGTGTTCCACAGGGGTCTGTTCTTGGACCCCTCTTGTGGAACATAGGGTACGACTGGGCCCTTCGCGCCGATTTCCCCCCCGGGCTGGGTGTAATCTGTTACGCAGACGATACCCTCGTGACAGCCCGGGGGGCAAACTTCCAAGAGGCGGCGCGCCTGGCCACAGGGGGAGTCTCCCTGGTGGTCGGGCGCATTGAGGCGCTGGGCTTACGGGTGGCCCTAGATAAGACGGAGGCCCTGTTATTTCATGGGCCCCGTCGTGGTCCACCCCCTGGCGCCTCCATCGTGGTCAACTCGGTCCTCGTACCGGTTCGGGCCCAGATGAAATATCTGGGCCTGATCCTCGACGGGAGGTGGCTCTTCGACGAGCACTTCCGACAGCTTGCTCCAAAGCTGGTCGGCGCTGCGTCTGCCCTAGGGCGACTCTTGCCCAATATGGGTGGACAAGACGGCTGTACACGGGGGTTGTCCGGTCAATGGCACTGTACGGTGCACCGGTGTGGGCGGCGGCTCTGACCGCCCAGAATAGGGTACGCCTCTGGCGCCCTCAGAGGGTAATGGCGGTCAGAGCCATACGCGGTTACCGCACCGTTTCTACGGAGGTGGCGTGCGCGTTGGCCGGAACTCCCCCGTGGGATTTGGAGGCGGAAGTGCTCGCCGAGGTTTATCGGCGAGTGGCTGACTCCCGGGCGTGCGCGAGTGGCGCGAAGCCGCTCGCCGAGCCACGATGGCTCGTTGGTCGTTCCGGCTGGAGACTCCACGCGCTGGCTTCGCCGCCGTGGAGGCTCTCCAGCCGGTCATCGCCGAGTGGGCAGGGCGGCAGCACGGGACCCTTTCCTTCCGACTGACGCAGGTGCTTTCCGGGCACGGTTGCTTCGGAAAGTACCTGCACACGGTCGCTAGGAGGGAACTGAGTCCCGCCTGCCACCACTGCGACTGCAGTGAGGACTCGGCCCAGCACACGCTGGCGGTCTGCCCCGCATGGGCGGCGCAGCGCCGGGCCCTCACTGCAGTCATCGGAGTGGATCTCTCGCTACCGGCCGTAGTACGCTCCATGGCCGGTAGCGACAGTTGTTTTACCGCGGTCGCAACCTTCTGCGAGGTAGTAATCTCGCGGAAGGAGGCGGCGGAGAGGGCCCGGGAGGACGACCTCCACTCGGACCCGATCCGCCGCCGGCGAACCGGGCGGCGGAGGCCCGCCTACCACAGCCTCATGCCGCCCTGAGTGTGGCCGCGGGTGGACGGGGTGGGTTTCCCCTCCACCCGCATTAGTTGGCCAGCCGCGAGGGGGCGGCGTCCGCGTGTGCCGGACGTCGCCTAAAGAGAGGAACATCTACATTGAGACGGAGCCCGCACCAGGAGCGGGCTGGCGCTAGGAGGGGTCCGGATGTCTTAACAACAGCTGTTCCCGGATCCCTCCTGTTACAGGCGCAGAGTGGCACACCATGTGGTTTTAGTCGGTCCGAGTCCGACACACCACCCCGCCGCAAACCCCGGAGGGGTGACGGTCCGAGGGGATTTCCACACGTTAAAAAAAAAAAAAAAAAAAAAGGGACTGTATGAAAGATGGTCAAGAATTTCTACTTTTTCCTGCTTCAAATACTCAATGACGATCGCTGTGTGAGTTTGCGTTGTCGTTGTGCAGGATGATGCGTCGCTTTGAGTTAGATTTTCGAAGTTGTAGTTTCGAAGTTAACAAACTGTGGTATACCACTCTGCGTTAACCGTTCTACGATCTTCAAGTGCAATAGTCGCAACATGGCCGGTTTTTCCAACGAACGTGGGCACCATCTTCTTTGAAGTGCTTCGAGAACGAACAACTTTAGTCGGATTTGGCTCGTCTTGAAAGGCCCAGATTGTAGATTGTTGTTTGGAATCAGGATCGTAGGCATAGATACAAGATTCGTCACCACTGATGATGTCGTAGACGTGATTTGACTCTCCTCGGTTGAACCTTTGCAGAGTTTTTTTACACCATCTGACGCGAGCCGCCTTGTGATCGTCGGAAAGCAGATGCGGTATCCAACGGCAAACTAGTTTTCTCACACCAAGCGCTTCATGCAAGATCTTCTGAATGGTTGTCCTTGAGATGCCTAATAGAGCCTTTATCTCTCGTTACATACGTCACATGACGATCTTCGAGGATTAGTTGTCTCACAACAATGATGTTATCTTCAGTGAAGGCGAATTTTGGGCGTCCTTCGCGAGATTTGTCACTAACACTAGTATGTCCACGCTATAATTCTAAATACCAGCGTTCGACAGTCCGCAGACATGGGGCTTCATCACTGAACACAGATGTTAGCTCTTCAAAACTACTGAAGCCGTGTCAGGCCTCTTCTAAAGTTGTAGAAAATTATTGCACGAACATTTTCCTTAGAAAGATTCATTTTCGTACGTAACCTGACAGATTCCAATCGACGCTGTGACTAAACAATAATTTCAACCGTTTTGAGATTCAAAATTTAAACACATTCGAATATAGAACAGTTCCAAATTCAAAATTGGCGGGAAATATGGAAACGACAGAACTTAAAAGGCATGCCAAGTATATTCTTTAATTTTCGAGCCGGCCTAGTGGTGGCGCAGCGTGGCTCTCCGGGTCTCCCACCGTAGAACGTCAGAGAAATCAGAAAGGATACATTATCTATTACGGAATCGTATTTATTCCGGTAAACTAGCTGGTGCCCGCGACTTCGTTCGCGTGGAAATTGAAAAGCGCGGCCTTAGTGGATTCGATCCCGGACCGGGCAAATTTGTTAGGGTTTTTTAAAAGAGAAAAAATAGCCTAAGTTAAGCCTTTTATAGACAGCTACTTTGTAGTAAAATATTATCAAAATCGGTAAAGCCGTTTAGAAGATTACTCGGAATAAACAGAGAGACAGACAGACAGATGAAAACAAAATTTTTAAACTGGTATTAGGCATAAGTACCGTGCAAATAACCGTGTGAGCATTAGAAAACCTACTATTTTGATATTACAAACTGACACTTCAATTGTATTTATTTGTATAGATTGTAGGTATGGGAGAGTAACCAATATTGAACCGGCGCTTAACTACAGAAGTGCTACAGAAGTGGTCCAATTTAAGCGAGGGTTCAATCAATCAATCATCAAAATCATCCATCAATATTGGTTACTCTCCTAAATAACATGGACCGCGAAAATTTAAAAGTTATATAGGCGTAGATACTTAAGCGAGACGATAATATTTACTAGTGTTTTCACATTCATTAAGATTAAAGTTCCACTTACTTGTAACCAGAGCAGGGTGAAAACGGGAACAGAGATGGTAGAGGGTCCAACTCCAACGGCGGTAAGGAGAAGGACCCCATGTCTTCTGACCAGCCCTCCGCGACTTCACCCGAAAGCGGGACCTCGCAACCTCCGATGCTGTCGCCCAACGCGTTCAAGTCCTCTCCATTTTCTGGGCAGCAGTTCTCTTGTTCCTGCTGTAAAATGTATCGGTTGTAAACAAGAGTATTCAACTTAGAAATATGTGAAAGCAGGAAAACTCTATTGTCAATGAATCCGATGAAGAAGATATCGTAAATATTGGCTAATAGATAAAATACAATGAAACTGTGGATTTACATATTTGGCGCCTGTAGGCTAGTCAATTTTTGCCGCCCCTACTAACCTCTACAATTCAACCCATTTTTACGTGTACGTCACACCACCGCCCCGGGGGGTGTGTAGGAATTGAACTGTCTAAAACTATACGGTGTGCCACTACGTGCCTGAAATAGAAGGGATCCGGGAACAGCTAAGACATCTGGACCCTCAATTCAATACCTTCCTTTTTAATGTTATGATGTTTCACTCTTCACGCATGCGGAGGTAGGGGCGGCGGTTCAACGGATCCGTTCCATGAACGCGGCTTCTGGACCAGATAGGTTACCTGCCTCAGTGCTGTCCCTAGCCTTCGACCCCATGTCAGACCCCCTTAGTGAGGTTTTTACGCTAGATTGGCGTTCGGTCGTTTCCATGAGTGCTGGAAGAGCGGCAAGCTGGTCTAGTTAACGAAGTCAGGACAGCCTGCGGTCGCGACCTACACACCCATCGTGATGCTGGCTGAGGCGTACATTATTTGAGAGGTGCGTTCCCTAACGAGCAGGGTGTTCCACAATCAGCACCGTATTGCGCCACAGGATGGGTGATCGAAGAGTCTTGGAGGCGTACTGTCGGTTGTGTCGTTGGATATCGCCAATGCATTCAATAGCCTGCCATTCAACTACATCAGGGAGGCATTCCACTATTCACGGGGTGCCAGAGTACCTAAGGTGGCCAGTAGCAGACTATTTAGAGGATCAAGATGGATCCTGTATAAGACAAAGGCCCTCTTATTTCATGGGTTCCATCGTAGTCCACCCCTTGAAGTATCCTTAACGGCGAGGTGGCTCTTTAACGAGCACTTCCGACAGCTTGTTTCGAAGGTGGTCGGCGCTGCGTCTGCCCTTGGGCGACTTCTGCCCAATTTGGGAGTACAAGAGGGTTGTCCGGTCAATGGCACTGTACGGTGTACCTGTATGGAAGCTCAGATAGCTCTGGCGCTCTGGCGCCCTCAGTAGGTATTGGCAATTAAAGTCACGCGCAGTTGCCGCATCGCATCGCAGGAACACCCCCGTGGGATTTGAAGGCGGAAGTGTTCGGTTGAGTCCTGGGTCGGTAGCGGCAGTCGGCCCCCCTCCGAAGAGGCTGGCTGACGATGACGAGACGATGGCTCTTAAATTGTCCCGGCTGGAGGCTCGTGAAGCCCAGCTTACCCAGCTTGCAGCGTTGCTGGGTGCAGCGTCGGGTCTACATTGTAGTCATCGCAGAGGATAGCTGGTAGTAACAGATGTTTTATAAGCGGCGGGAATGGCCCAGTAGGAAGATTTCCACTTGGACCCAAGTCACCGCCGGCGAACCGCGCATTTTAGGGTCCATGGCGCCCTGAGTGATGATGTTGTGATGTTTAAGTTGTAAATAATTCACCAAGCGTTTAGTTATTTTTTTAAATAAAGATTGTAGAGGAACGGGTGTCATTTTCCAATAACACTAAGAGAGGATCCACCGACGTGGTACAGTAGGCCAAAACCTATTTTCTAAGAAGAGGATTATGTCCAGCTGTGGACTATTAAATACTGTTGATGTTGATGATGAATATGTACTTACTGTACTTTTAAATGGCTTTACGTTTCGACCAGGTTGCGTTGGCCGTAGTCATAATTATACCTATATCATGTAACTTGATAAAATTCAGTGTTTGTAAATAACATACACATCAACACCCACCAATGTAAATAAATAAGTATTCTTTTATTTTGAAATTACCACAAACTAAGTAAATATTATTAATGAAAAGCTTAAATTAATAGAGGTTACTTATTCTCTCATTGTGTTTCGACGCCATTGAGGTCACGAAAAAAAGTTAAATTAACACCTACATATTTTACATTTACTAGATTGTATCGTGATTAAAACCATTCATATGTTATTCTTATACAAATGTTTAGCAAATGCAAAGTAAAATTTAATGCAATGCTTCTGATTCTTGGTAAACGTTCTAAAACATCTCGTAAATTCTTTCAAAAATTCAAAACAAACATGGCTCCCCACTAGAAAATCTTTCTTAATAAGAAAACTATAAATCTTACTTATTGATTACTACATATCAGATCGAATTCTATTCATAATGTAAAATTGACAATTCTATATTTACTTTTTTTCAAATTTCGGTTTCCAAGCGACCACGAAACAATAATCACAGATAAGTCAAGCTTCCGACACTTGCCTGACAACACTCCTCCTCAGGGAACTCTCTCAACTGATTCTCCACGCACGTGCACTGCAGCGGGTCGCAGCAGAGCCCGTGGCAGCCCCCGCAGTAGTCCGCCAACCCGAACTGTGGATTATTTGGCATGTAGCACTCCATGGCTCCGCCTCTGTGCGCATGGCACGGCGTATGGGCGGTATCAATCATTCACTCGTGTTTCCGACGCTTGTAGTCCCTTGCAGCCATCGTCTGGAATACAGATTTATTGGAATTTCATAACAGGTTTCTTGTAAATTTAATACAAACGGTACATTGTACAAAAATGTGAAAGGTGCAATATTATTAATAATTCCTGAAGGAACTCACGAAATTAAATTTCAATTTGACTGAAAAGTTAGATTATTTTTTACACGCTTTATATTAGCTTCACTTGTATGTTTGTTTGTATGTTTGTATGTTTGTAACCGACTCCTTTGGACGTGATTTTGACTGACTTTAAACGGTCAGAATTCGTTCAAACTTTGTAGATATATCAAGGACCGATGACAATACACTAATTTAAAAAAAATAATTAAAAAAAAGAAAATAAATTTGAAAAAAAAGCGTGGGGTGCTTTTAACTATTGACAACAGGCCATCGCTTTTTTTCAATTTTTTTTCTATTCTTAATTTGGTTTTCTATAGAAAGCGTGTTTTTTAGTTTTTTAAAACTATAATTTTTTATTGTGAAACTATATACCTATAAAGAGTTATTGATTTGAGAATAGTAATGAAAAACTTTAAAGCTTTATGTAAATTGCAAGTGTTTTAGAGTACGTACCTACTGTTATGATATTCAATAAAGGGAAATTAATATTTTTATTTCAGATTGGATTATTCTATAGGCGGACTTCTGTGTCCGAAAGTGTGAGATATTTGCTGAAACTATTGTACTTTTTACAACTGCCACGTACATTGGTGAATGTCGTTATTTTGATTTAATTGTTATCTTGAGCATATTTAATGTTAATATATTCCTCAAATACCTACTTCATTATTTTTAGGTCTGAAGGTATAAAGAAACTACATACAAAGTAATAAACAATGTGCTACTATATTAAATACATGGACCTCTATGTTGGTGTAGGTGATAGGTAGGTATCTAAAAAGAATGTCGTCCAAATACTTATAACATTGGTCAAAATGAATCATGATTTTTCCAATCAAATCCAATTATACATAACTTTGACTGGCCTGTTGGTCTATTGATTAGTGACCCTGACTGCTAAACCGGAGGTTGTGCGTTCGATTCCCACCCAGGACAAATAATTGTGTGCTGAGCACGGTTATTTGTTCTGTGTCTGGGTGTAATTTATCTATAATATGTATGTATTTATAAATATATAAGTAGATATGTTTATTAGCAATCTGGTTTACTTGTTCTAGTTCTTGGGATTAGACGGTCGTGTGTGAAATGTGTGAAAATATTATTACATAGATAGAATGTATGAAACACGAAAATTATGTCTCATTATAAGTTCAATATCTATAGTATTACCTTAAGAATTAAAGGTTACAAAAGACACAAATATTTAGGCAATTCCTAGGAGTGTTTAAATAGATTAAACAATGAACTAAGTAACAATATTTATTGTACAATATCCAAAGCCGATTGCTTTTATGACAGTGTTTATAGATTTTCTATTTCATCATTTAGGAGTAATTGAAGTAAAAAAATAAAGGCAATATGTTAAGAAATAGTTTAAAAAGGTGGTTAACTAATAATGTGTGTTATAGTCTGAGAGATTATTTTGATTCTAAAATAGTGTAGCCGTACCATTTTGTTGTTTAATTTGATCTCACATAAACTGCAACACCTGAACTGGGCAACTGAAGATCCTGATACTAATTTATATTAAAACACCTTTATTTGTACACAGTTTTCTGCAATAAATATATATCTAGCTATTTGTCCTACGGAAGAATGTTTTTTCTTCCACGTATCGGTTTGTCTCTTTCAGCGTAGGGCGCGTAGAGAAGGCATCTTATATGTCCAATCAGCAGCAGCAACAAACCAGCTACTTACTAAGTTGACAGTGATACTTATTTTATTCGTCTAGTTCGTTTTATTAGTTTACAGGAGAACTTAGAAAACGTCATGATCATCATCAACAGCCTTTAATAGTCCACTGCTGGACATAAGCCTCTTCTTAGAAAGGAGGTTTTGGCCTACTGTACCACGCTGGCCAGACGGGTTGGTATAGGGTTTGTGTCAAGTTTTCCTTCTCTCTGCAGTGCTGTTGTCCTGCGTAGTTTTTCCCTTAGTCGGCTCTTACGACACCCACGGGATGAATAGGGGTAGTGACACTCTGTATTACTCTCTCTCTGTCTTAGAAAACGTAATTATGTTATATTATGCTGTTCTTGATAGATACAATTTAGGTTTAACGTGGTCAAAGTACATAGTAGGCCAAAACCCCCTTTATAAGGAGAGGCCTATGTCCAGAAGTAGACTGTTAAAGGCTGATGATGATTATGAAAATAATAATGGCGTTTTCCACTGGTTCAATTCTAATTATTAACTATTGAATGAAAATAAAACTTAAAGTATTAGTTTTACCTTGTCTAATCTCAAACTGTGTGATGTGAATGTCAATTAGTCAAAACGAAATGGAAAGAAATGGAATTGGTGAAACCGGCTATCATTCTGGACATGACTTTCGACTATAAGTTACAATTAGATCCTCATTTCGAAAAGCATTAGGGCAGATAAAGTTCATCAGAACGGAGTTTGCCTGAACGCTGCTCACCGTGAAATACCCACGAAATACCCGACAACGTAAGCTACTGGAAGAACATCTTTTACGGTGCTGGGAAAGCCTTGCCGATATCCATAAGACGTGGCCAAACACTGACAGCATTTAAGAATATGATCAAAGATCACTACTTAGGTTTATAAGTACTCTTGCCTTTCAATAGCTGTACATAACTAAATGATTTGATGATTGTCAATAAATGTTGTATATATTTATATCTTTATATACAGACTGATTCACTGACTGATCGATCAACCCACAACCGCTGGGTCTGCTTACGGATATGTACAATGGGCTAAAATATCGCTAAAATCTCTCACAGGGAACCTTTGGATGGACAAATCGACAGTAGATAAGAAGAAACAGTGGGTAGTCTAGGTATATTGAAACTATAGTAGTATTAAAAAAATATATGGATTATATATAACTATACATACACACACATACGTATACAAACATAAATAATATATACAATACTTATATATTAATAATCATGAAATCATATAGTCATGTACAACTATTGAAAGTAAGAAAGTACTCCTTGTACTTAAGAACCTAAGTAGTGATCTTTGACCATATTCTTAAATGCTGTCAGTGTTTTGGCACGTCTATGGACATTGGCAAGGCGTTCCATAATCTGACGGCCTCTACTTTGAATGACTTATCATAGAATATGGTGTTGTGGCTAGGTACCATTAATTCCAAAGATTTCGACCACCTCAAGGATCTTAGATGTGTGTCACTGAGGAACACAAAACGTTCCTTCAAGTAAGGTGGGGTAATAAGATACTATAAAGTAGAAACAATATGTGTATTCCGTCAAAGTTTAATTATATCTATGGGGCAAATCCATGAAAGCCTGCACCTTTGGAATCACAAGCGTATTTCCAGCCTTTGGACTAAAGTCGATTTAGTCAATCAAGGTTTTATAATCCTCCATAATGAAAAAGCAAAATAATTTTCTGACGAATAAATGGCAGTGCTTTATTTACTATTTATACCATTATAAATGTGATGGGTGTTTGTGACTCCACCAGGCCAGGAAGACTAAATAAATCTAGGTGAAATTTGGTACAGAAATAGAAGCACAATGGCATTATACTTACTTACTTACTTCAAGAAGGCGCGTGGCGTCGAATCGACCGCATTTGTTTATAACATGTAATACTTTCGTCACAACTCTTTCTAGCCTCTTCTAAGTTCATTAGAAAACAAAACACCCTCCCTCTCCACCTGCCCCGTGTTTTATACGTAGCTTTTAGATACGCCGTAGGTGGCGCGAATAGTTCTTTCGACAAGACTATTCGCACCAGTCGGCGAAAAATATAGATATATTTTTCAAATATTTGGTGGTTTAAACAAGTTACAAAAAAGAAAACTACCACATTCACACAACGCCATCTAGTCGAAACTAAGCAGAACTTGTACTATGGCTACTAGACAACTGATATAAATACAAATATACTTTTTTTGTAAACACATACATATTATACATAGAAACAACCAGACCAAATTAAACATTAAAATGTTCATGCACACAAATGTTTGACTTGAGCGGGAATCGAACCCGCGACCTTTGGAATAGCAGTCCGTTACACAAACCACTAGGCCATCCGGTCGTCAAATTGTGTGGGTTGGTGTTTTTGTTTGTTTTTTTTTAATATCAAATGGCTCGTAGGCCTGTTCGTGGCTCTCAAATAATGTCGCAATTACTAGAACACGATATAGAGTGAAACAGTGTTCAGTGATGAAGGCTCAGAAAACGGAAAACGCAAACATTTCGAGTTCTGAAAAAGAATATGTGCCCTTATCACAGATATATAGTTTTTTAGGGGCGTGATAAATTGACGAAATGGCAAAAAAACGAATAACAACAAAGTGAGACGTCAAAGACAAAATATTTTGACGGAAGATTCTGGTGCTCGTAGAAATGGCGTAGGTGTACCAACGTTTGAAAAAGCTAGAAATTTATTCATTGGTGAGAATATTATTGAAAATATAATAGAAGTTAAAGCATGAAATTGCAGTTCTATAATAATAGATACTTTGAATTGATATAAAACCTTTTTTTTTAAAGATAATTCCCGTATTAGGAATATATCCTATGTCGCGGACGACTTTACAAACATACATGAAACGGACACAAAAAACACCCACCCAAGACTCAGAACAACAATTTGTGGATCACACAAAGTGTCGTCTCATGTGGGGTTTGAACCCATAACACTCGGCGCAGTAGGAAGCGGCAAGCGGCACCACCATAATGTACACCAAAAGACCTCAAGTCTGCCGGGAAAAAAGATGGCAGCTGGGAATGGGGTAGATGAATATTTGCAGCGTTAAACAGAAAAGAAGCCGGCCAAGT